CCTGTACCAAAGTCTGCAAGTTAAGGTAGGCTTAGGTAGCCAGATAAGTGCACGGGGGATTTTAAAGGTAAATGACTCGTAACATTTTGAGCTATACCTAAGTATAAAAAAATATTTTACAGTATGTTTTTTTCAACTAGGTATTAATATTTTCTACAGAAGGTTGTCAGATAAATTAAAAAATATTTATTTAAAAAACGACGAACCCCACAAAGTTATAGAAGAAAACCACAACAGACTGACAAAGTAGAGCAACCTATAATTAAACGATTAAAGACAAAGGTCTATACAATATTTACCTTAGGTAAGGGCGCATGCTCAGTATACAAGACAAAGGTATAATGAAAGATCTTTAATGAACTTTCTATTCCTAGGCAAAAAAAAATATTTGGAATGATAAATTCTATAATACGTTAGTACTATGCCAAAGATGCAAACAACAAATGAAAGCAATCTAAAAATCATTAAGATTGCAGTTTTTTATGCTAAAAATGGTTGTTTTTAATATTTTAAAACATTAACAATAGATTGATTTTATAGATCATTCAAAACTTATTATGTAAAGTACATCGAAATTAACACTTAGGCAAAAAATAAATTTAAGTGACATATCTAAAAATAATAAAAAAAACATTTTATAAAAAAACTTATTTATATAAAAAAATGATCTTATCAAATGGATGAAACTCATTTTTAGTGGAAATATGGTAGAATAGAAAAAATAGATTAAAATATTTTCGTGTTATATGTCTTTTTACTATAGAATTTAACTAAAAAAACTTAAAAGAAAATGTGTGAAAATACTTATGAAAAATGGAAATGTGCATTGCTAGACTCCGCGAAACATTTTATAAACTTTAAATTTAGTTTGATGATTTTCAACGGATTAAAAATTATTGTATTTGTTAATTATTCTAAAAAATTAAGAATATATATACTTAGTTCATATTCATTCATCGAAGCAACGTGGACACAAGTAAAAGTGTTTATTAGAAAAATGACTATATAAACAATAAAAGCTTATGTCGCTATAGTAAAGAATTTATGCTATGATAATAAAATAATTTTTTCATTGAACATTAAGTTCTTTGGTCATAGGCAACAAAAAAAAGTTGCGCCTTGGGTTAGCTGCGCTCGGTATTATTAAAAAATTGTACTTTATATTTTTTTACTAAAATCATATAAGTAAAATAATAATTTTTAAAAAGTTGTAATTGAAACTTCCGTTTAAGTATAAATCAATCATTTATTTCACTAATCTGTATTTTTTATTTTTAACTAATACATTTTTACTGTGTATGTCATCACTTTACACACACAAAAGATTCAAAATTGTGTTAAATTTAGTAAAAATTATTCATTATTTTAAGTAATTTAAATATAAAAGAAGAGTTAATAAATTTTTAACAGAAAAATTTAAGTGTAATTAGTTAAACCTACTCCATGTTCTTTTTTAATAAACTAAACCAATAATAAACAAAAATCATAAAATATGTCTTATTAATTTAAACATATCTAATTTTACTTGTATTTTACAACCATAATAGAACAATTTTATTCAACTAATTTTAAAAATAAAAATGACTGGCATGGTATATTAAATACTTTAAATAATTTGTAAGATCATCATTGTGTATTTCTTTAATTTAAAAAATAAGGTGGTATTTTATTTTATTTTTTTAACTAACTTTATTATTACATTAAATCATAAAAATAAAATATTATTTTTTTAACTATTTTTATTTTTAAAAAATGTTTTAATTTTTAAAATAAATAAAAAAAAATAGGTATTTTAAAATAAATTAAATAAAAAATAGGTATTTTTTTATAAATCTCCCTAATGACAAATTGTACACCTAAAACAAAAACACTAAGAGTAATTAATTATAAAAAACTATTCCAAGAAGAGAAAGATGCACTTAAAAGACACTGTCTAAGAATGTACAACTCAGATTGTACCTTAGATTTCCTAGCTAGCTCCTTTAAAAGAATGTTTGTATCATCAGCTAAGAAAAAAAAGATTTCTTCTTTTGTTTATGAAGTGATAGATTATTTAAAAAAGAATGCTTTAAATACACTTGGTATTTTTAGATTACCTTCCAATTACAACCTTACTAAAAAATTAACCAATCATATTATTAACAATGAAAGAGTACCTTTAGAAGAATATGACCATTTTACCATTGTAAATTCATTAAAGAATTATATAAGAGAAGAATTGGATGGATTGATACCTGAGAGTGTGGCTATAAGCTTAGAAAAGAATTTTAAGAAAGAAACTTCTTTTAAAAATTTAGAATATTTTCCTTTTACCTTGGATGAAGATAGAAAAGATTTGCTTGTAGCACTTTTTTCTCTTTTTAAAGAGGTAGACAGTCATTCTAATGTTAATCTTATGAATATTGATAATATTTTATTAATAGTTCCTCCTACTATTTTCCCAAGAGTGGTACAAAAAAATATAAAAGAATTTATGCCATTTGTTAAATTTATGAAGACTGTTTATGAATTGGATTATGAAAATGTACCAGTATCTTTTTTAAAAAAAGAGGTTAATAATAAAAAATATAAAATAAATGTAAAAAAAAATAATAAAAAATATAAAATAATATTAAAATATTAAAAATATAATTTAATTTATAATTTTCCCCATGAAAGACGAAACCTTCAACGAATTCAAAGATAAATTAGAAAAATTCACTCCACTTTTACCAGATGCAGTAACCGAATACTTTATAGAGAAAGCAGGAATAGAATGCTGTGACGATAATGTAAAAAAGTATGTCAGTTTACTTGCACAAAAATTCATTACAGACATTGCTACCTCAGCCATGCAGCACAGAAAAATTCATCAAAAAGGTGCCTCAAAAGATAAAAGAATGCCTAAAGAGAAGAAAAATGCTTTACAAATAGCTGATATTGAGAAGGCATTGGCTGAGTATGGGATTGACATTTCAAGACCATTTTACTTTTTGTAATAAAAAAATTAAAAAAATAATATAATTTTTTTAAATATATAAATTTAAAAAATTTTTACCCTTGTTAGCCAGAAGCTTTCGTAAGGAGTATCTTACTCTTAGGAAGGTCTGAGAATGCACGTTGGCGAGAAGCCATTAGTTAAACCTATATCTTCCTTAACAGAAATTCTCTTGCTACCTGACTGAAATGGGATGATGGTAATAAGATTGGGAAAGTGAAGATGTGCAGCTTAAAGAATAGTCAAATACGAAAGACAGTTTGTGAACTGTAACTGAATTCAGACTACTCTCTGGCAAACACTTTTAATTTAAATATTTTTTAAAATAAAATTTAATTTTTAATTGAATGTTTTTTTTTAAATTAAATTTTATTTTTTATCTTCTTATCAATGTTAAAAATTCTCAAATTTTACCCCTTTTATTGAGATGTATCATCAAAGAAAAAACTTTAGAAACTTTTTGCTTTATTTATTTATAATTGTTTCAATTTTAAAACCATGTTTAGGATCTTTAGAAGTTATAAACGAACTCGAGACAGATCATTCATTGGATGACCAAGAAGTCCAAGATAATCTAGAATCGTTACAAGATAATTTTACTCATTGTGATTTTTTATCAGATTCTTATGATGTAACAAGAATGCTAGGATATGCTAGATTATTTAGATATACAGCAGGAAAAAATATAAGTAATATGAAACACTTAATAGCAAAAAACCTTTGTATTCTTTTTAATTTTTTTTCAGAACCAAAAAATGACAAAAACAAAGTACATAAAGCCATTGAAAAGTTATACGAACTTTTAGAAAACGAGGAAAATAGAAATTTTTCTTATGAAAAAAAAGACAGAATTTATTTTGCTGATATCCTTGTAAAGCTAAGAGATTCTTTATCTAATCCAGTTGGAGATTCTGCGTATGAAAATTATATGAAATGTTCATTTTTAAAAGAAAATTTTGTTTTATTAAGATGTTCTAGCAGGGAAAATAATCATTTCGCATGCATAGAATCTCCAGGTTGCATTGATATAAAAATGTTATTAGATCATTCACCTGCACACTTAAACGTCTTTAAATCAAAAACAGAGTTCGATANTTTATATCCAAAATATCTTTATTTTAGTATTTTAGAAGATGAAGAACGAAGGCCAAGATTTTTCAGTTTAGAAAGGGAATATNTTTATAGATTTACAGATCAAAATAAAACATGTTTTTATAAACTTGCAGGATTTTTGACCGAAGACTTCACTGGTGTTAGTTGTTATTTAAAAGAAAATGGAAAGTGGAATAGATATATTTCTAACCAAAAGGTAAAAGAAAGAAGATTGATTCGAGTTCCATTCGCAGCAGTGTTCGAAAAATTTGCTGAATATCGCCGTAATCCATCTGAACGAATTAAAAATTAATAAGCTATTAAATTAAACTCTAGATTAGACCCAATATAATTTTTATTTAAATAATGATACCACTACTTTCTAAATCATAAATGTCAATTTTTTTTGAATTAATTTATTTATTAAATAGTTTAAAAACTGTAAGAAGTTTTTTTAAAATTGAAATTTTAAATTTTCTTACTTGATTAGATTTCAAATGTATGATACACTACCTCAATACAGCATATACAAGCCTCGAACTTCGGCTAATAGAGTATCAACGCTAGATAACAATTTAACTTTATTGTTAATTAGGTGGAAGCTCTACTAGATCGTATTTAATTACTAAATATACAAAATTATATATTTTAAATTATACAAATATAAAATTTTAAAAAATTAAAGTAGATATAAAAAGCATTTTATTAATCAGCGCATTTAGGTTGTTTTTGTTGTTATTTTTCGAATTGTAGAAGGTGATTAAAGTTCACCTTTTAAGGATAAATGATATTAACACAATTAAGGTGATTTATCAGAGCTATTGTGGAAATATTATAATTGGTTAAATTATTATGAAAAAGTGCTATAATAACATAAAAATTAAAAATGCATTTTTCTAAGTTTTTTAATCTCAACCCAGCGAGATTTAGAGTTTTCATCTCTATTTAAAATAAAATTCCATAAAAAACATCTTAATTTAATATTTTTAGTTTTAAACATATTTCTTAAAAAGCTCTTATCATATTGTCAACTCTTTTTCTTTATGTCTTCACTTCAACTAATAAATCAGTTGATTAAAAAATAAAAAATTTATCAGAACGAAATATTCAAAGATTCTAATGTTTGCTGTAATAAAATTTCAAAGCAAAACTTGTTTATAAATCATAGAAGACAAAGAAAAGGTAAACCAATTTTGTATGCTAAAATACATACAAGGTTTTTTTTTGCCTAGGGATGGGAAATCCATACGGAGATCTTTTCGCTATACCTTCTTTATGAGAGTAGTTATACCTAGTCGATGGAAACATACGGTAAAATATGTTTCCCATACTTTGGTATAGCTCAAGATACTGCGAGCCTTTCATCAGCTAAAACCCACCCCCGTGCACTCTATCAACTGCCTAAGTCTACCTTATCTTGCAGGCTTTGGTTACAATACATATAAGATGAATACTAAAATTATAGTGATTAATGCAATCATATTACATTTCAGGTAGGATCTTAGTGATTTAAAAACTGTAATTATCTACATTATAATTTAAAACTTTTAAAATTTGTAAATATGAAACAAAACTTTATTCTTAAAACCTACAAGCTTTTTTGTTGATTAAATAATGACTTAAAAACACCATAAAAATCTAATTTAATTATCCTAATTTATGTGTAACAGACAAGGTTATTAAACACAATTTTAATTTTATAATTTTTTTTGGCTCGTTTTATATTATTTTAATTATTTATTTTTACATGATGAAGTTTTTTTTTTTATAACTTATTTAATAAAACTTTTATAAAAAAAAATTTAACAAAAAAAAGAGACATATCTAATATTGTCATTAGATTGTTCTTTTTTATCTTCAAAAAGACAATGAAGTAAACATATAAACCCATAGAACCGATTTTTTGTCATTAAAAAAAGAAGGAATGCCAGCTGACAAGAGAATAAGATTTAAGAGCTTAAATACCATAATAGGTACTCAATTAAAAATTTTTTTATTGTTTATGAATACTAATCTAACAGATCAGAATTTAGATCATTTAATCTCATATAAAACCAGATATCATAAACTATTAAAAGAAAATAACATACAAATCTCACTTTTACATTTATTGTGAACTATTAAATTTTACATTAGATTTTATAAAAATATAAAAAAATGGTGTAGAATCATAAAACATCCTAAAATTTTATTCTAAAAATTACTTAAAATATTGTTTTTACTGAAGTATGATTGCTTATTAAAATATGCTATGGAAAATTTTCAGAATTTTTGGAATTTTCAGCCAAAAAATAAGTAACAAAGTAGAAATATAAATTAAATAAAAGCTTTGCATGCTATTTGGCTGTCTTTTTTAAAAAAAGACATGTTTCTAATAACGTTAAGTCTTAAACACCTCTTATTAAGACAAAGATATTTGTATTTTTCTGATGTTAAATTTTTGTCAAATTTAATATATCAAAATACTTCAAAAATTCCTTTTTCTGTAGGCGCTAATGATTCAGATTGATCCATAAGAATGATTTAGATTAGTTGTGTTTTTTATTATTATTTTCATAAAAGAACTCTGTTTTTTAAACAAATTAATTTCAATAAATAAATAATACAAGCATTGATGTTAATTTTTTTATGAAAAAATAATGTTTTTGAATGAACTTAAGAAATTTAAAACAATGGCATAATAAATATTTTTTATAAAAAATATAAATTTTTTTTATTTCGGCAGAATCAAAATTAAAAATCATAATCTTTTTATTAACTAAAAATTTTATATTTTTTGCTTCCTAAATTAAGAGAACGTGTATTCAAACATTCAGATAGTTTGCTAATCACAAAAAAGCTATCAAATTATTTTTTTCGATGAGTATTTTAAGTTAATAACTTACAAACAAAAATCTTATTTTATATCTTAACAATGTAGCATATCAATCTTCTTTGATTTTTATAGAAAGTAATTTTAAAAATTTTTTGGAATTAGATTTTTTGGAATATTAATAAAAAACAATAAGACTCATTTAATATAAAACTTTCATAAAAACGATTTCGATATTAAGATTTTTTCTTAGTCTAAGTAACCTTTTTTATTGATCAAAATGAGGCATTACAAAAAATCTTGGAAAAACTTTTTTGAAGTTTGTTTTTAAAATTATAAAAGAAATAAAACAAGACGTTAACAAATAACTCAGTAAAAATTTCCAACACCCTTAAACTCAAAACATGTTGCTGTTAAAATTAAACAATAAATATAGATTCATAAGAGAGAAATTAAAATGAATACTAATATGCTATAATTTAGAATTGAAGAGAAGGATTAACAAATAATTAAAATAATATACTTTGAAAAAAGATTCAAAGGAGAAATTTAAATTTTTATATAAAATAAATAGAAATAAATTTATTGGGGTTATTAGATTTTAAAAAATATCAAAAAGGTTTGATTTAAAGTTAAATAGAGGAGAAAATAAAATTTTAGATTGTTAAAAAAGGAGATTTTTTCAAAGAATTATGAAACTCTATTTTTAAATGCTAAATTTATATTCGTAAGAAATATTTTTTGCATCGAGTTTTTCATATTAGAAAGAGATATTTTTTATTAAAATTACATTAAAACTGAGGAATTTTTTATTTAAAATATTGTAACATATTTCTTATCTTTACAGTTTAAATTTTTTTTTCCAAATAATATGATCAAAAAAAGTATAAAAGATTAAAACATTATACTTCTTTTACATAGATTATGTTTGTCATAATAATACAAAAAAAATAAATGCTATAATATTTTAATAAACACTTTTTCTAATCTTTTTTTTGATTGTATAATTCTATATAAGTAAAATTAAGTTTCTTTATTTACTTTTAAGATTTGAATTTTTTATGGTCTATAAGATATTCGATTTGTTGTTTAATCTTAAAGAAACAAAAAAATTTTTAAAAATTTGTAATATAAATATAAGTTACATCAAATTTTAAAATTAATAAGTATTAATATTAAGTTTGGTTTTTTTGACAATAAAATAAATGAACTTTAAATAATTTTATCTTTATATTTTAAAAATTTTCAGATAGTTTTATCTGTAAATATTAGATTTAAAATGTATTACAGTCTGTAATGCAAGTTAACAACTTATAATCTATTTTAAAAATTATAGTCTTCAATTCAATTCTAAACTCAAATTAGTTTTATCATATTATGTACTTATATTGAGT